ATTTTTTTCATCGCGCAGTGTGATGACGTCACATACGCGCTTTCGTCGAGCGCGCTTTTGTCTACCGCGGTTTTGTGGTGGAACTGTCACAAGTAGGCATAAAGCTAAACAAAAAACATGTTGTCAGGGAAATGGGTATATTTCCATTCATGAGATTTTTTTAATGTATCCTGATTGCCAAAAAGAGTTTGGGTTTCCTGGTGTAGGTATTAGCATACAATTTTTTTCTTCTAAATGGGAAAACAGAAACCATCTGAAAAGGTTTATCATCAGTACTTGAACTCAAAATTTTTCTGCATGCTTCATTTGGTAAAATTCATTCTCCTGAATTGAAAAGGATGTTATGATATATAGAGTGAAAATGTTTGATATATAAAAAAGGGTAAATTACAGAACACGGTTCCAAGTGTCATTCATTCTGAAGTTGCTGTACTACTATAATTGGTTTCTAACTGATTTGCAAACTAAGCTTTCCCATGAAGTCAGCTTTGAAATTAAATAATTGTAAGCATTCCAAAAAACCTGATCTAAAAATTGAAACTCAGTAATCATAGAACAATTGGAAAGCAGATTTGAATCATCCTGAGTATTTCACTAGCGGGGAAATAGCTTCCATATATTCCCTCTGCGAAGCTAGTTCCTCCCTGAAAATCACATTAATACACACTGTGACATAGGAAGATCCCTAAATGTGAGGCGAAGGCTGTGATGAAAGAGTGTTTTGTTAGCATGCAAAGAAAGATCTTAAAGAAGAAAGATAAAGGAAGAGAGAGGCACTTGACAGTTGAACATAAGAGAAAGAGAAAGAAAACATAAGACATTTTTATCTTCAAAGAAAAATCTTGAAGTCCTTCTGGCAAAGCAAACATTTAATCAACCACAGAGAGGTTTATTGGTTGAAGTAATACAATTTATACTAGAACCATTTACATGTATCATTTGAGGTGCTGGCAATGAGATTTCTAAAGGATATAAACTTAGGATACCTTGAGGCATTTTGTCAAAATTCCCCAGAGAACTTGGTTTCATCACCAAAACATATACCGAGATGCCAATTTTGGGATTACCCCCAGCATCCCGAGCCGTATCCTATTCCATTTGAAGACATTCTTGTACTTGTACTTGTACTTGTACTTGACACCTCTTCACCCATCGTGGGTATAGGCGACTTCCATGGAAATTTGACGCCACTGTTTTTGGTAACGGCGATCCATGGAAGCTGTTTCAGCTGGATATACCCAAGGGGACGCCAGTCCCAAGGGTCGACAGAGCCCGATTGGTGGGAACGGGGGGCACCACATGAAGGCCAGGTTGTCGTTTGATAGTTGAGAGGCTTTGCAATAAGCGTTGCAATGTATATTTTGCGCATCAACTATCCTTGCCCCCCGAAGACATTCAGGTTGAACATTGCTTACAGCACTTCCATGGTTGTTATGAAAATTAGTATTAGCGTCAAGGTATTCTTTCTTAATATTTAATTATGTTTTCTACCGCTTTATTTCTTTTCTTTTGATTGGGGTTTTAGTGCTGGTGTTGGCAGGACTGGTACCTACATTGTAATAGACAGCATGCTGCAACAAATAAAAGACAAAAGCACAGTTAATGTCTTGGGTTTCCTGAAACACATCAGGACACAGCGCAACTACCTCGTCCAGACGGAGGTAAGAATCAGAAATGTAGTCATTGTGATTCCTGCAGTCAGTTGCTATCAACTAAATGTTTTTAAATGAAGTTTGATTACTGCATTTACTACTAAAATAACAAAGTTTCCAGATTAAATTTCTTGGGTGTGGTCTGTTTGTTTTGCAAGTATATATAAAGAAGCAATATGTACCATCAAGTCAGTGTTGAGTCTTAGTGACCACATAGATATACTCATCCTTACTTATGAATGAGTATATTCAGACATATGTTTTTCATTTACAGGAAGTCCTTGACTTACAACCATTCATTTAGTAATCATTTAAACTTACAACTGGACTGAAAAAAGTGACTGATGACTGGTTCGCACACTTTAAACCATTAAAACTTCCCTGCAGTCATGAAATCAAAATGTGGGTGCTTGGCAACCAGCATATATTTACAAGGGTTGCAGCATCCCAATGACTTATGATCGGCATTTGAAATCTTTCCAGATAGCTTCCAACAAGCAAAATCAATGGGTGAAGCCAGAGTCCCTTAACCACCATGAGATTCCCTTAACTGCAGCGATTCATTTAACAACCACGGTAATCATGGTCATAAATTCAGGCTGCATTAACAGCTGCATTGTTTAGGAACAGAATTTTGAATTCCAACTTTAGTCGTCATTTGACCTGTATGTAAAAGTCAGAATAAACTAAGTGCTTAATAAATTGTTTAGGATGAAGTCGAGGGAGGGGGGAACAGTATACAGACCCCAAATTTCAAAAATTTCAATATTGTCAAGATTGGCTCTATTAGCATTATTTGCACAACCATTTTAGAAAGGTTAGAGAAAAAGGTTGATAGAAGTCATCTCATAATTCCCCTTTTTTAAAACTCACAACGCTATTTTAGTTTGATCAAAGTAAACAGAGAGAGGCGATTTAGGTTAGACACAATGGAAGAAATATTACAGATGTTGGGGAAAAGGGTAATAAACAAGCAGAGGAGAAAAACAAAAGGAAAAATGCTCCGGAAATAGAATCATCAAAGCTATGTAGGTAATATTTGGTCCACGGCTGTTGCAAATATCCTGTCTTGCATGACTCAAAAGTACTTGTATTTCATTCAGAACAGAGTCCATACATGCCCATCTCTCTTTGCTTTCTTTAGGAGCAGTACGTTTTCATTCATGATGCCTTGTTGGAAGCCATTCTCGGGAAAGAGACTGAAGTTTCTGCCAATCAGCTACATAGCTATGTCAACAGCATTCTCATACCTGGCATTGGAGGCAAGACTCGACTAGAGAAACAGTTCAAGGTAAATTTTGACATTCACTGCATGGATCTTGATCAGAGTATTTCAGGTTTATACCTACATTGCATTACACTTGTGTCAGAAGCGCTAAGACACTTCTGGATTGAAAGGATTAGCTGGTGGCATCACCGTTGCCCGGGGGACACCGAGTTAGGAACCTCTTTCATGACCCCGCAGGATTTGGAGCGAAGGATGGGCGCTCACCCCACTCCATGTCAGCAGTAGCGTCTCAACCATGGATTTGCTAATTTCCAACCCAGTGTCCTAACTACACAAGCCACTGTGTTCCAATATACCTACATGATTTGTCAATCTTAGTTTTGAATGGTTTTCACTGTTACAGCTTCCCTCCTAACGGTGTTGATACTTAGGTTATTCAAGTACTTTGAGACAATTGCAATGGTAGGATTGATCATATCTTTATGTCATGGTTCAGCCTTGCAGAATCTGCTCTACAATAATGCTCTCTGTTATGCTCTCATAGTGATTTTTTTCCTCCCTTAGAGAATTAAGTCTAAAATTAAAACTAGATATGTTAATCAAAAAATTAGGGGTCTATACTAGCATAAGGTAGAGGGGATCTTTAAAATATGTTTTCAGGAAACTGAAACTGATAGCAAGGGGGAGAAAGGTAGAATTTGCTTTGTGTTTGCAATGTTATTAACTAAAATAAGTTACATTAAACTTCTCAAATACTTAACATAATCAATACAATGTCTTATTTTATCCAAAAATGGCATGTCATCGTAAACATCATTCTTTTGCTCTTCTGCTGTCATCTTTGGAGCTCTGGGGGTAACATAGCATGCCTTCTTCCTACCAATGGAATGAAATAGATAGCCCTTGCTTAAAGACCCCAATTGGGATTGGCAATTCCATTGCTCAGCGATGCTGTCTCTGAGTGAAGCATCACATGACAATGACATGCTTACAATGTCTCTTCCCATTTGGTCATTAAGCAAGACATCATGTGATTGCAGCTTGCAATTCTACCACCAGCTTCTCCATTGACTGCTGATTGTGAAGTCCACAAATGGCAATCCCATGACCATGGGAATGCCTGTCAATTGCAAAGTACTCAAATGTCGATCATGTGACATTTGGCCATAAAGTTGCTTTTTCAGGCAGTCATAACTCAAACAATTATTAAACAGGGCAGTCATTACGTGAGGTCTACCTGTACAGTATTGCAAGTATAAAGATACTTTTTTAAAAACAAAGAGTTTCACAGTCACTTCCTTGAAGCTTGGATATATCAAACAGATATTTACTATTCATTTGCAACACATACTGGCTACCTAAAATTGCCTACAAGATAAGATTTAGGCATAGATATAATTTCACCTATCCAATGATCTTATCCATATCTTCACAGAATTTGAAAATACCAAATGTATTTATCAGGATCATTCAGCTGTGGAATCAAAACTGGAATTGCAAGGGGCTTTAAATGCAAAGTGTTCCACAAATTGGTCACAACTGTTCATTTTGCACAATGGATAAATTACAAAATTTATCTGGCAAACGAAATAAATTATCCTAAGTAAGGTGGAAGAGGGTCATTTCAATCCTGAGCTACAAATATTCTCCTTTATTGGTATCCTAAGTAAGTTGATATTAATTGCAATGTTTAAGATTCCCAGTAAGTAGGAGGAAAAATTAGTCAAGCACAGCTTTCTTTAATGTTTTACTAAATAAAAGGTTTTACTTTCAAAGGTGATGTTTTTGTTGTACATGTTTTCACTTTATATCTTCAGGAAAAGCTAAAGTGAACTTGTCAAACTAAGATGAAATAGAATGTTATTTATTTAAAAATGAGAATTATGTAGGTAGGAACCAATAAATATTTATATAAATAATTTTAATGCAGGGTATTTGATTCTTTTTAGTATTCTGAATTCTTTTAACAATGACAATATATTTTTTGGTTTTCTAAGCATTATTTTCCTCCCCAAAATAGAAAAGTATAATGCAGGTTTATGTTTTAAAAGACTGATCAAGAATTAATCTTGTTCCTTTTCTGTTTAAATTTTGCAGCTGGTTATGCAATGCAATGCAAAATACATAGAATGCTTTAGTGCCCAAAAAGATTGCAACAAAGAGAAGAACAGAAACTCATCAGTAGTGCCATGTAAGATCTCATCTTTGAATTTGATTCTTGCTCTGCATAAATTTATTCTGCTAACTGTTAAAGTATATTTGCTTTAAGCGGGACAGGGAATGAATTCAATTGCTTTACATTCCAGAGTCAAGGTTGACTAGAACTCTTCTGCTAACCTGCATACAGACCAAACACCAATACTTGAATTTGAGATGCCTGATTAAAAGTTGGCTTGGCAAAATACTGTTGGTTTTAACCAAAATATAATCACTCTGGAACACTTGTACTGTAGCATAATTCAGTTACACTGGTCCTTGCATGAAGAACTGTTAATGATTTTCATAAATTCTAAAAGCCTTCTAATAAAGAGGCCCAGTCTTCTAGAGTTGGTCTACATACAGTTTCCTGAAAACGTTTCCAGGGTAAATAAAAGTCCAGTTGAACATGGACAGCGTTGTTGTTCTTTTGAGGTATAGTGGAAAGGGTGGGGTTATTTGTGCTGATGATAATGCTGTGTATGTACGTCTATGAGGAGGGCAACAGAGAGTCTGGATTTTTTTAAACTGATTCCACAGCCTGAAAATGTTTGAAAATCCTTGTTTTCAGTGAGGTTCATGGAGTTAGTTAGTTTCCATTGGGTTGTTTTGACACCAGAACACAGTACAAGTAACATTTTATTTCAGAAAATATTTTTTCCATATGAATTTTTTATCCATTTAATAATCTGTGCTATTTTATAATCCAAACCAGATCTTGAGAAAACTAGATTTTGTTAAAATAATCCTACTGTGATGATTAAGATCTATTTGACATATGATGTATTTGTTTGATGCTGCAGCTGAGCGAGCAAGGGTAGGACTAGCACCATTACCTGGCATGAAGGGAACTGATTACATTAATGCCTCGTATATCATGGTAAGATAATAATAATTTACGTTTGAGTAAATCTATAAAAATATTCAATTGTTCTGTCTCTACAGATTGTTCTGTCTTGTTAAAAATTACATTACCTTTGTTTAATAAGGTATCTGTATTGAGCATTAGAGCATTATAGATTTCTGCATACAATTAAAAAAATAGTTTGCATAAATTAAAAATTAAGACAGTCTGTCCTATGCCCCCTTGGAAAGGAAGGCTGGACAGTAGTTAAACAGTTATGTTCAACCCAACAGGAATTGGTTGCATTTTCAAGAAGAATAAATTATGCCAGGTTAATATGTTAGCCTGTATTTTGCATTATTGTTCAACATCTGTGCAATCTCATTTTAAGCTGCTTAGAGTTGTTAAATTGAAGCCACATTGAAAACCAAGTGATACATAAGCAAAACATTATAGTGCAGGAATATGTAAAACATTCTAAATGAAAATCAAAATATTGTCCTTACTATCAAATAATTATTGTCAAATAATCAAAATACAATCAAAAATAAATATTGTTTTTATTTGAAAACAACAGTTCACTTATTTATTTCTTTAAAGTACAGCTGATCATGTTAGCATGTATTCTGAAAATTATAATTTTTGGTAGAATCCATACAATTAAGGATACACGTTTATAATTTTCTTTAAAGTTTATTTTAAAAGTTTATATGGCAGAAAGAGAGAGAGAATGAGAGACTGAAACTCATTGACTGACTGATCATATGTGGCTAAGAACAATCCATATAAAACATTGCAAAATCTCTACAAACAAAACAAAAATACAAGTAAAATAATATATATAATGTTCTTCAGTATTGTTATTCAGATGAATTAACCAGTAAGTTCTCATTAAAATTTAGCCATTTAATTATTTTGTCTTCACCCAAGGTGTGTAATGTTTCCAAACTGTTCCATTCATGAAAAATTGTTGTTTGTTTCTTTTAAAGGGCTATTATCGGAGTAATGAGTTCATCATAACACAGCATCCGCTGCCACATACAACTAAAGACTTCTGGAGAATGATCTGGGATCACAACGCACAGATCATTGTCATGCTTCCAGATAACCAGAGTTTCGTAAGTCCTTTCATTTCATATGCTGCATATTCGTATGGTAACACAATAAGAAACAACCAGATTATTTACCTGCTTCTTCCTCAATTTCTAAGAAAATTATAGCCAGACAATACAATTTTGTAATCCCGATTATGCAAAGAGGTTTGAGAGCACCTGGGGAAAAGATAGCTAAGGACAGGAAAATTTTCTACATCTTCCAGCAACAGTAGAGCACCGTGGTGGCAAACCTATGGCATGCAGAGCTATCTCTGTGAGCACACGCGCCGTCGCCCCATCCCAGCTCCATCGTGTTTCTCGGTATCATTTGCAGGACTAAAAAAAAATGCACGAAACAGCATTCCACCTTTGTGGCAGTCCATTTCCTGTTCCTGCCTCCATGGCCTGCCCCTTGTGCAGCACAGTGAAATTTAGCACACTTCAGAATGGGGGAGACAGGGTCCCCTCCTCCTCCTGGAGTCCATTACGACATGGAACCACAATGTGACCCTGCATCAGTGTGGCTTCACTCTTGCCTCCCAACTGCTTTTTCTGTAGAGGTGCCTGTGTTGGGATGCCCCGCTGGCCAGCTGGGCTTTGCCTCTCAGCCAATGAGCTGAGCATGGGTGCGCTGGTCCTGGGCTCGTTGGCCTCCAGACATCAGATTCCTACCACCCAGCACCACTTCAGCGGTTCCTTTCCTTCCCCAGGGGGAGAGAGAGAGGGAAAGAGAGGGAAGAGAGAGAGAAACAGAGGCAGAGAGAGAGAGAAGGGGAGGGAAAGGGAAAGAGTGAGAGGGAGGGAAAGAGAGAGGTGGGATGGAAAGAGAAAGAGGGGGTTAAAGGGAAAGAAAGGGAGGGAGGGAAAGAGAAGTGGAGGGAGAGAGGGGGAGAGAAACAGAGAGGGAGGGAAAAGAGAGAAGCAGAGAGAGGAGAGAGAGAGGGAAGGAAAGAGACACAGAGAGAAACAGCAAGGCAGAGAGAGGGGAAAAGGAAAGAGAGGAGGAGGGAAAGAGAAATGATATTACAAAAGTTTTTTTTTCATTGTTGCTAAATGTAATATTTCAAAAGCAGAGAAAAATGAAGGGGCATAAAAGTGCATTTATCATATTTTTCTTAGAACAATTAGCTCAACTCTCCCCTGTTTATCATTATTTTAGATAGTAAAACCTCAATATTCAGGTTAAATTGCCGTGTTGGCACTTTGCGATAAATAAGTGGGTTTTGGGTTGCAGTTTGGGCACTGGGTCTCTAAAAGGTTCACCATCACTGGTATAGCATATGTAATTGATATTACATATTAAGCAGCA